CCCAAGTGTCCACTGATAGATAATTGGATAAAGAAGATGGGATACACACACACACCACGGAATATTACTCAGCTATAAACAGATTGAGTTCTTGCCACTTAATAATAACATGGAAGAACCTAGAGGGTATTATGCTAAATGAAATAAATCAGAGAAAGACAAATACCACATGATTTCACTTATGTGGAATCTAAAAAAAAGTAAAAAAAAAAAAAAAGCAAAATGCAGAAACAGAACCATAAAGACAGAGAACTAACTGGTGGCTGTCAGAGGGGAGGGGATGTGAGGATGGGGGAATGGGTTCAGGGGAGTGGGAGATACTGGCTTCTAGTTGTGGAATGAATAAGTCAGGGATAAAAGACACAGAATAGGGAATATAGTTACTGGTATTATAAAAGCATCATAATGGGACAGATGATAGCTACGCTCATGGTGAGCATGACATATAAACTTCTTGAGTCATTGTATTGCATACCTGAACTAATGTAACCTTGTATGTCAACTATACTTCAATTTAAAGAAAGAGAGAGAGAGGAAGGAGGAGAAGGAGGAAGAGGAAGAGGAAGAAGGACAGGAAAAAGGAGAAGGAGAAATGAAAAGAACACTCAAGGCCCAGATGGCTTTATTGGTGAACTCAACTAGATAAAGATGAAACAATGCTAATTCTACAAAAACTCTTCCACAAATTAGAAGAGGAGGGAACACATGCCAACTCATCTTAAGAGGACAGTATTACATTGTTACCAAAACTATAAAAAATACATTAATTAGAATTCAATATTCCTTGAGAACATAGACTCCAATACTTCAACTTGATATTATTATATAAATTATTCCATACATAAAAATAAAAATATATGACTCAGTGGAATTTTACCTGGGAATTTAAGGTTGAACCAATATTTAAAAAACAATTCACCTATTAGTAAACTAAAGAAGACCACATGATTATCTCAATAGAAGCAGAATAAAACTTCTGACAAAATTCAACATCTATTCATCATAAAAACCCTCAGAATACTAAGAATTGAAAAATTCTGAAGTGAATAGAAGTCATCCATCAAAAATTTACAGCTAATTTCAAACTTGATGAGGGAGGACTAAATACATTCTCACTAAGTCTGGGTAAAAGGCAAGGCATTTTATCCTAACTACTTCTATTAAGAATTGCACTAGAAACCTTAGCCAGTGTAATAAAACAAAAGTCAAAAGCATACATATTACAAAGGAAAAAACAAAATTATATGTACAGATTAATAAGAAATGTGAAAATAAAAAAAACCCTCATTTAAAATGGAGTCAGAATGCCCTGAAGGGGCATTTAGAATGCTCTCACACACTACCATGTGCCTCCATTTGCAGACCCTAGCAGGAAAAAGTATAGCTTGCATTTCCCAATAGGAAGAAACTTTTTTTTTCTTTTTAACTCCAGTAGGAAGAGGGAAGATTATCTCCCTGCCCAGCAACAACCCAGGCAATGAGAACTGCCACAAGTCACCAATGAGAAGTTGCCAAAACCCAGAACTGTGGCTCTCTTTCAATGGACTTTCATTCTAAAAAGGCTGTTTAACTTTCTCCTTTCCTCTATAGAAGCAAGCCCCCTCCTCTCTTTTGTACTCTAGACTTGCCTATGGTTCACCATAGTTTGCATGTCCTGAATTTCAATCCCTCTATTGTTCCTAAATAAAATCATTTTCTGGTAAGCTAACTGAATATCTTTAAGCTTGCTATTACATGGTGTCAGAAATGGGATCCAAAGGCCCAAACCCCTTGAGAACCTACCCACTCCTGGAATCCTGTGAGGTACCCACGTCAGCCCCTTGTGTTCTCTGCTTCTTTGAGTTGTCTTTTTCCTTTCAGTTTGGTAAATCTCCTCTCAGATTCAAGCTCCCTTCCTTTGGTTGAAATCTCCGATTTTATTTGGGATCTGTTTTTATTTTTTTGTGAAGGCATCATCCTTTTGGCAAGTAGTCATTTGTTTTTCTGAGCTTTAAGCTAAGATTATAGAATCCTAATCCTCTAAATTCTCTCAGGAGTGCCCTCCTTCCAGAATTCTAGCTAGCTTTGTTTTTAAAAATTATGTTCCCTCCTCTTGCATATTTTTAACTAAAAGGACCAACTCAACCAAAAATAATTTAGAACTCTGATTGCTATTATGGGGAATTTTGATCTCACTTGTCTTTCTCAGAACTAAACTAGAAATCTTCTGCTCTAAAACTTGTTTAATTCTAAAGTTCCCTCTTAGCAAATGCCACTTCTAAATTAACCAAAGTAAACAAACAATCGAAAGAAAATAAAAGTGTCTAAGGCCTCTTTCTTCTCTTCTCTACCCTCTTTGTCTCAGGTGCCATCTTGCTTGTTTGTTCTGTCTGCCTTGTCTTCATTGTCTCTAGGTGTGTGGCAGCCATCTTGTGCCAGTGCTTCACCCTGGTACCATCTTCCTCTTTGCCTTCTGTGCTGATCCAGTTCCTCTATACCCTCTGCTTCCTCATTCTAACCTTCACTAAACCCCCCTTTTCTCTGAATTTCTCCCTACTTTCTCTTCCCTTGAACCTCTTAAAATCTGCCCCTTTAAAGTCTAACCTTTTGAGGATCCAAATGTTAATCCCCAATTTTTTATATACCCTGGACTAAAGCTGAACGAGGAGCCATAGATAAATATTTTCCCAAAAAATCAAAGATTCCTACAGATTTGCTGAGAAATTTAATATAGTCATTCATACTTAACCTGGTTTCTCTGACATATGAGCTAGTTCACATACTTGTCAGTGAAGATCATCAGGTCCAGCACTGAATGAAGGCTGCCAATTGGGATAATCCTGAAAAATCTCTAGAGCTATGTTTAGACCCAGATAAGCTCCATGACATTCCAAACTTCTCCAAACCCAAAACTAAATGTCAATTACAAGGTTTTTTCAGGCTAGCATCTACTGCTAAATTGGATTCCAAACTTCTCTTACGTCCCAACCCCTATATATTTACTTAAAAAACAACAAACCTGACTTTACATTTGGGAACACCAGGATGACTTAGCCTTTAAGTCCTTAAAGGAATGCTTAAGAACTCCCCCTGCCCTAGGAAATCCCAATTATCAATTTCCCATTTTCCTTTTTGTATATGAAAAAGAAGGAAATGCCCCTGAAGTACTCATCCAAAAACATTGGAACTACTATTAACCGATAGGGCATTATAGCCAACAGTTAGACCCTGTGGTACAAGGATACCCCCCCCTTCCTGTCAAAGCCCTTCTTTCCACTGTCCTTTTAGTTAAGGTCACCAAAAAAGTAGTTATGGGATCTCCTTTAACCATCTTTGTTCCCTGTGCAGAAGCCCTACTGAATTCTTATACTCAACACCTTTTAGCCAGCCACCTTACCTCCTATGAGATCCTCCTGCTAACTGCCCTACATATAACTCTTTCTCACTGTGATAATACTAACCCTGCCTTCCTTCTTCCCTCCTCTGTGGATGATACTACTTATACGTGTTAACTTCTACAATTCACTTTTTTAAAATTATTTTTATTTATTTTTAATTATGTTATGTTAATCACCATACATTACATCATTAGTTTTTGATGTAGTGTTCCATGATTCATTGTTTGCGTATAACACCCAGGGCTCCATACAGTACGTGCCCTTTTTAATACCCATCACCAGGCTAACCTATCCCCCCACCCCCTCCCCTCTAGAACCCTCAGTTTGTTTCTCAGAGTCCATAGTCTCTCATGGTTCATCTCCCCCTCCGACAGTTCACTTTTTGACTGACTCCTCCTGACTTATAGGAAATTCATTTGAATAACACTGACTCTTCATGGCTTACTAATGGTTCTTATTTAAGCGGTGAAAGTGGCAAATACTATGATGGGTATGCTATTGTAACTCCTTATGACAGTATTGAGGTTGCACCTTTGCCTTTGGCTACCTCATCCTAATAGGCTGTTATATTTTCTCACTCAGGCTTGTACTCCAGCTAAGGACAAAATCATAAACATTTATACTGATAGTAAGACTTTGAAGTAGCTCATGATTTTGGAATGCTATGTAAATAGCAAGACTTCCTTACTTCCAGCGGCAGGGCGGGGGGTTAGGGACTAAAAATGGCTCTTATGTCCAAAATTTATTAGATGCTATACTCCTACCAGCCACTTTGGCTATTATTAAGGTCCCTGGACATTCCAAGCTTGACTCCCTGACTAAAGTTATCCAAACTTAGTGATATTTCTGCCAAGAATGATGCTTTGAAAGGAACCAAGATCAAATCTCTGTCATGGTCCAAAGGGATGTTGCCTCAAATGATATTCTAGAAAACCTGACTAGAGATGCCCAACACTTGCCTCCAGAAAAGGAAAAACAACAATTAAAAATCCATCAATTGTCAGTTTGATCAAAAGAGAGAACTCTGGTTTGGGCCAAATAACAATCCAGCCCTGCCAGAGATTTTGAAATTCCCACTAATGATCACTTTAAATTCATTGAATCATTAGTCTACTCATAAAATAATCTTTATGAATCAACAATGGTGGGGGAAATATCAATAAGACCACAAAAAGTGTCTACTTTTCTTGCTGTATCTGCCCAAAATAAAATTCAGGAAAACTTGTCTGCACTGCTCCAAGTCACTTTAAATTGCCTGATGGACCATTTGAGGTTTGAGAAATGGATTCCCCCATCTCTCAATGGAGATTTATGGATATAAATGTTTTGGTGATGGTTTAGGTTTTAAGGATTCCACATTGGACTAAAGCTTTCCCTTGTAGGCAAGGTACTGCCTCTTCTGTGGAAAAAATTCCATTAGAAAAAATAATCCCTCAAACTTTATAGTGACCAGGAAATTCACTTCCAAGAGTTGAAGCAGGCAACAGCTGGAGGAAACAACTTTCCCAGGATGACTGGACCAGATCTATATGCCTTTTTCTTGCTGTTGATTCTTACCTTATTTTCTCCCTCTTTTTCTTGGAAAGACAGTGCTCTTATCCACATTTTATAATTTATTGCAAACAGGGGAAGCCTTTCTGACTGCTGGGCCTGTCACCAGAAATTCTGATCTGTTCACAATGTTGGAAATCTCTTGGTTTTATCTGTTAGCAATAATCGCGCCTCGGATAAACCTCATTGGCTACGATACTGCCACTGCGCAAAGCTTTGGTTTTGTCTGTAACCAATTTCTCCTTAATCCCAAATGCCACTGTTGATTATACCTGTAAGTTGATGGACATTACCTACTGTGTTAGGATATTATGGCCAGATGTCCCCCTACCTTGTTTTAACCTTTCCTCAAACAAAACTGTACCAAAATCAGCTAAATATTTCCAACTTTGCTAATCATACAATTTTTGCTACTCTATTTTTTTTTCCTTCTCTAAGTGTGATCTGTCTTCCTGCACTCAAGGACAACACAGGCTAACTCCTCTCTGCAAGACTTTTAGGCAAGACCCCTTTAGAATGATGGTCTCTCACAGAATGTCACCCCAACTCCTCTGATCCTTGGCTTGAAAGGGTCAATTGGAAAATTCCAACTAATCAATCTATCAATAAGCAGACTTTAGCTGGAATCCTCTGCTCTCCATCTGGTTTCATTTTCATCTGCAGTAGACAGCATTTCCCATGGGCATATGAATGCTAAAATAACTGATGAATTGGAGGTTAATGTTTACTGGGACATTTAACGGTCGCTGTTAACATCCATCACAAATCAGAAGCCTCCCATTGGTCCACACTATTAAAGTTCCATGGTCACCTTAAATAGGAACTTGTAGACATGTACATGACTTCAGGTATGCCTCCACAGAGAGAGACTTTCTCCTTTGGGTTGGAGTGAGTGACAATAAACATATGATCAGAAATTTCTCCCAGCTGATTCCACAGTCAACCCAACAACAATCATTTGACTCATTGACTACAGTAGTTTTGAAAAATTTCATAGTCCTTGATTACCTACTTGCTGAGTAAGGAGGAATTTATGCAATAGACCATGCCATCTTTTGCACATGGATAAATTCCTCTAGGGAAGTAGAAACCAATTACATAAGATTAGGGAACAAGCACATTGGCTACAACAAATTGCATTTAACAATTCATGGTCCTTTGAGGTCAGCTGGTTACCTTCAGGTGTGGGCTCTTGGTTTAGAACCACTGTACAAGCAGTATTTGTCATATTGCTTTTGATTCTGCTTTGCATAATCATTTTTAAGTGCTGTTGCTATTCCTGCATAAGTGATATGCCCAATAAAGTGATGCTAACTCATTGCTTCAGAATCTCCAATGCTTACAACTTTGATAAGATATGGACTGTAGGTAGGAAATGCCTGAAAAGTCTCCCTCCTACATTTCCTTGTTACTCAAATGGCCTCCATCATTTCCAATCTGTGCATTTTCCCCTTGACCTGGGACATGACAACCAGGAAAAGTCCTTCCTACCATCAAGGGATGAAACCACTAAATGTAGAAAACTTGACTTTTGATCAGTGGTGCTTTTGAGTAAAGACCTTGATCAAAAGGGGGAAGTGTGAAAATGAATAAAAGAAACCTCATTTAAAATGGAGTCAGGCATTAAGAAGAGCACTTGATGTAATGAGCACTGGGTGTTATATGCAACTGATGAATCACTAAGTTCTACTACTGAAACTAATAATAATTTAAAAAGTAAATAATAAATAAAATTAGATTATAGTGATGGTTGCACAACACTGTGAAGATGATAGTTTAATTGTATATATTTTTTGCTTGTATACCTTAAATGGATGAACTGCGTGATACATGAATTATATATCATAAATCTGTTTAAAAATAAAAACTAAAATTAATAAAATGGAGTCAGGAAGCTCTGAAGGGGGAGCTCTCACACACAACCACTCACAGATGCTAGTAGGAAGAATTGTATCATGCATTTCCCAACAGGAAGAAGCTTAATTTGGGGGTTTTGTTTTGTTTTTTCACCCCAGCAGGAAGAAGAGTTGTTTTTTTTTTCCTTATCTAGTAACATAGACAATGAGAACCACTGTAACTAAGGCATGAGAAGTTGCCACAGCGCTGAACTCTTGCTCTCCTCCAGTGGACTTTCATTTCTAACAGTCACCCCCAATTTCTTCCTTTCCTCTTTCACCATAGTTTGCATATCCCAAATTGCAATTCCTCTGTTATTCTCAAATAAACTCATTTTGCTGGCAAACTAACTGGCTATTTTATTTTTAAGGTTGACAGAAACTTTGAAGGTTGTGGGATACAAGGTAAATAGACAAAAACCAATATTGTTTTTATATATTAGTTTGAACGATTGGAAATCGAAATTAAGCAAACAGCACCACTTATAACAACACAACACTACTTGAAATGCTTAGGTATAAATATAACAAAATATGTCAAGTTCTCTATATTGAAAACCATAAAATAGTGAGAAAACAAAGAAGGTAAAAATGGAAAGATATACCGTGTTTGTATTTTGGAAGACTCAGTATTATTATCAATTGTCCCAGTTTTTCTATAGATTCAATGCAATCCTAATCAAAATCTCAGCATTCTTTTTAGATATTAATAAGCTAATTCTAAAATTTATATGGGGAAATAAAACTAATAGCCAAAACAATTCTGAAGAAGCAAAATGCTGGAGAAGACACAGTGCCATTTTCAAGAATTACTATAAATTTACAATAATCAAGATGGTATGGGATTGCTGAAAAGTTAGACACATAGAACAATAGAGAGTTGTAGAAATGACCCATGCAAATGTGTTTAATTTTTGATAAAGAAGAGGCAATATAGAAACAGTCTCTTTTCAATATGGTGCTAAAACAATTGCATATCTATAGGTAAGAACAAAACATCTTCATAAAAAAAACAAATTAAAAGATCTAACTGTAAAATTTATTTTTTAAGTTTTAAATTTTAATTCCAGTATAGTTAAAATTGTGTTACATTAGTTCAGGTGTACAACAACAGTGATTCAACAATTCTTTACATTAGTGCTCATCATGACAAGCATACTCTTTAATCCCATCACCTATTTCACCCATCCCCCCACCCACCTGCCCTCTGGTAACTATCAGTTTGTTCTCTATAGTTAAGAGTCTGTTTCTCAGAACAAACAGGGTTCTAGAGGGGAGGGGGCTGGGGGGATGGGTTAGCCTGGTGATGGGTATTAAGGAGGGCACGTTCTGCATGGAGCACTGGGTGTTATACGCAAACAATGAATCATGGAACACTACATCAAAAACTAATGATGTAATGTATGGTGATTAACATAACATAATAAAAAAATTGTAACAGCTGATCAATTTTTAGAATAAATTGTGTGCGATAAAATAAAACTGCTATTAAAAAAAGAGTCTGTTTCATGGTTTGTCTCTTTTTCCCTTCATTCGTTTTGTTTCTTAAATTCCACATGTGAGTGAAATCATAGGACATACGTCTTTTTCTGACTGACTTCTTTCACTTAGTATTATATTCTCTGGCTCCATTCATGTTGTTGCAAATGGCAATATTTCATTATTTTTTATGGCTGAATAATATTCCACACACACACTACATCTTTATTTATTCATCTGTTGATGGACACTTGAGCTGCTTCCATAATTTGGCTATTGTAAATAATGCTGCTATAAACAGAGGGGTGCATGTATCCCTTTGAATTGCTGTTTTTGTATTCCTTGTAAATACTTAGTAGCATGATTCCTGGATTATAAGGTAGGTCTATTTTTAATTTTTTAAGGAACGTTCATACTGTGTTCCATGCTGGTTGCACCAGTTTGCATTCCTACCAACAGTGTACAAGGGTTCTTTAATTTAAAACCATAAAACTTCTGGAAGAAAATAAAAGACAAATCTGTATGACTTGGAGCTTGGCAATGAATTTTTAAATATGACATCAAAACACAATTGATAAAGTAAAAAATGATAATAATTATAGATTGAACTTTTCAAAATTAAAAGGTTCTATTCTGCAAAACACACTGTTCAGAGAATAAAAAACAAGCCACACTCTGGGGAAAATATTAAGGACTTGTCTTTGGGATGCATAAGGAATAATCAAATTTCAATAATAAAATTTAAAAAGGGAGAAAAATCTGAGCAGATACTTCAAGAAATATATATGGATGGGAAAGAAACATAAAAAGATGCTCAGTAAATACCCAGTACTGCAATTCCTGGGTCATAGGGTAGCTCTATTTTTAATTTTTTGAGGCACCTCCACACTGTTTTCCAAAGTGGCTGTACCAACTTGCATTCCCACCAACAGTGTGAGAGGGTTTCTCTACAACCTCTCCAACATTTGTTGTTTCTTGCTTTGTCAATTTTTGCCATTCTAACTGGTGTAAGGTGGTATCTCAATGTGGTTTTGATTTGAATTTCCCTGATGGCTAATGATGAACATTTTGTCATGTGTCTGTTAGCCATTTGTATGTCTTCTTTGGAGAAGTGTCTGTTCATGTCTTCTGCCCGTTTTTTGACTTATTTGTTTTTTGCGTATTAAGTTTGAGAAGTTCTTTATAGATCTTGGATACCAGCCCTTTATCTGTAGTGTCATTTGCAAATATCTTCTCCCATTCTGTGGGTTGCCTCTTTGTTTTGTTGACTGTTTCCTTTGCTGTGCAGAAGTTTTTTTATCTTTTTTTAATTTAATTTTATTATGTTATATTAATCACCATACATTACATCATTAGTTTTTGATGTAGAGTTCCATGATTCATTGTTTGCGTATAACACCCAGTGCTCCATTCAATACATGCCCTCTTTAATACCCATCACCAGGCTAACCCATCCCCCCGCCTCCCTCCCCTCTAGAACCCTCAGTTTGTCAGAGTCCATAGTCTCTTATGGTTCTTCTCCCCCTCCAATTTCCCCCCCTTCATTTTTCCCTTCCTAGTATCTTCTTTTTTTCTTTTTTTTTTTTTTAACATATAATGTATTATTTGTAACAGAGGTACAGGTATGTGATTCATCAGGGGTGGGGGGATGCGTTAGCCTGGTGATGGGGCACGTACTGCATGGAGCACTGGGTGATATACGAAAACAATGAAGCATGGATCACTACATCAAAAACTAATGATGTATTGTATGGTGACTAACATAACATAATAAAATAAAATTTTTTAAAAAAAAGATGCTCAGTATTTAGTCATTAGGCAGATTCAAATTAATACTACAAT